CACACACACACACTCTAACAAAATCAGTCCAACCTACACCCTAACACCAAGAGCAAATCGCAAACCTTAAGCTAGCTCCTAAACCCTACCACCCGACAATTCACACCTGTCATCGGCGATCCGATGGCGATGGGATTGGTTCTAGGGTTTGGGGACGCAGGCTTGGGCTTGGGCTTTGGGGCTTCGTGCTTGGCGATCTTGTTTCGGTGGTTGGGTTTTAGGCGTACGGCGTAATGAGGCTTGGGAATTCAGAGCTTGAGGTTTGGGCTTCAAGCATCTTCAAGCATCGGGCAGGGACCTCAGAATTGCCGGATCGGGGGAGTAGGCTTCGGGACTGAAGTGCTTGGGGTTTGAGATTTATAATGTTTGGAGTTTAGGATGTGCTTATAGTCTAAGATCTTTATTCTTTATGGTTCAATGGTCATCATTGGCTATATGACGACGGGAAGGGCGACAAGCTCCTGAGGCTCAGGCACGAAAGAAGTTCAACCAGTGACACTTCCAAAGACCATGATGAAAACAAGACCCTTACACATATTAAATAACGAATATTCAGAAATGCTTGACAAGACTAGAAGCATGCAGCATCGTCATAAAGCTAAGAGGCTCGAAAGGGTCGATACGAAGACTAAACAACACGTGCCACTTCGACCATTCTTGTGAGAAGGCCTGGCGCTGTCGACGGCTGCGTGCGAGACACAGAGGTAGCCCTGCTTGCAGCAGAAACCTGTGCCGGACAAAAAAGTTATGGATTGGGGGGGGGGGGGGGTTAGGTTTGGGATCGAAGGTTTGAGGGATTAGAGTGTCTGGAACGTTGAGGGATTGAAGGTTTATTTAGGATTTCTGCCGTTCGAGTTCCGTTTTGGAAGCTTCAGGACTCTAGGCCTCTTGCTTAGGCCACTTAGGCCTATGCTCAAGGGGTTCTACATGGGTTGAGGGCTCACTGTATCAGGTTTGTGCTTTTGCCAAAAAGTGTCTCAGGAATTGACCTATAAGCCTTGAAGCACTAAACCTTTGCGCTACGAAACGAGCAGATCTATATATACCCAAAGCTAGCGATACCATTGTCTCCGAATGTCTCCACATACCTCTTACAACGCCTTTGCAACTTGTCTGCGTGACACGATTTTGGGAAACCGGCGAGCTTAAGTGCCAGGGGCTACCAAGTATTCTCAGATGCAGTAGGTAGTCAGGTAGTCAATGTATCGTGAGTCGATGGGAACGGTTTGGGGTCCTTGGAAGCCCGATTCGGTCATGGCATGCATTGGTCGCTTGAGCGCTCGCAGCTCCCAGACACCTAGTCTCATCAACCGCCCTTCGGATAGACTTCGGCCTGCCCGTGTGCCGCAATCTGCGGGCCGTCCACCGACGATGACCGGAAGGCATATGCCGAATGTAAACAAGATTCACCGGAAATGTCCGGGAGACAATCACTATTTGGTGAGCCTGCGAACATCCTCATGGGATGCTGAGAGACGACATAGAGTCTATAGAGGATTCTAGACGATAAATCCTGGAAGGATTCTCATGATTTCTGTCAGAACGCTGAAAAATTAAACTGATGCCGAAAGATGCCCTTACCGGCCCCTCTGTCTGTATACCGTGCCCATCCGTGCCCTCATACCTTCTACCGCTGAGATCCGAAAATACAGACCCCATAGTTTTAGGCCCCGGAACCAAAAGCCCCACACTCAGGAAGCTGAATCCGAGACGACCAAGCTGGCACACGAAGCCTGAGCGTTGAAAGCTGACAACTATGCTAAACCTTACGAGCCGTGAGCCGTATTCCCGACCAAAATCTTGGCCTAAACACCGCCGGGAAACACTGACCATGCCAATCTAGACCCAAGATTCCTAAACCCGAACGCAGACCTTTACGTGCAGCTGAAAGGCAGAGGTTTCACGGCTGGCGCAAGGTGCGATGACAGAGCGAGCGGCCTCCTCGGTTCCATCCCTTTGCTGTAAACCTTGTCCCCAACCCGTAATCGGAATCCCTAAAAGCTTCATAGTTGGGCTTGTTAAGGGCTTCTGTAAGGCTGTGTCGAGTTGGTTAAGCTTGCGTAAAGGCGAGTAACAAAAATGGTTGTATATGGGGCCGAGAGTATACTTCATTCTAAGGATCTTACAATGCTCGATCTATCTTATCCACAGATCTTCTATTCCTGATTGAGAGGACGTCCAAGGATGTACCAGGGTGGTCCATGAGGAATAACGCCAAGCCTGAAAAGGGGCTTGAGGGTCATGATTTTCACACCCATGCAGCGGCAAAGTCTGGCCAACTGAAGGCGAACATACAACATACGCCGCCTGCTTATGAGGAAGACGTACCATCAAAGTTGCTGTTATTGTTGCTATCGCTTCCATCGCCTTCAGGTTCTTGATAGTTCAAAGATTTGGGGCGAAGGCATATTTGTCTGTCCAGTCCAGTGACGCCTGCAGGTTTTTGGGGCAGCGGCAATAGTAGTAAGCGGTCTAACAGCATACCCGAAAACAGATCACAGAGACAACCCCCTGAATAGCCCGTTTGCAAGCCCGTATATAAAAAGATAAAGCTATGAATCGCCTTAATCAAATGCTCCTATAGGTCTTAAATTTGCCCGAGCTTCAGAGAGACTGACAGCCTCCTGGTCTGGCTTCTCAGCCTCGTGCAGCTTTCTCGTAATACCGATTACGCGGGGAATCGAAGAATGCCATCAGGTTCATGAAATCGATCGTGATGCGAGGGTGCTTGAACACAGGGGACTCTTCAACCTATGACTATCGCCCCCCTTTCTGTGGGCATGCAACTTTACGGCTAAGGCTTTCGAGTCTAGGGTATTGGGGTTCTGGAGTTAAAGGCCCAGGGGTTTAAGGCGTGCGGGGCTTAGGACTGGCTGGGAACTTTTTCCGCTTCAGCGGCTTCCGACCGCTTTGAGATGTCGTGGCTCATCCTTGGTAACCCTTCAACTTCAGTCTTCAGTCAGAAGTTGTTATAGCAATACACAAAGCCATCTGCAGCCAAGGCCATTTCTCATGTACAGACCGTCATTTGGAGTCTCCTAATGTTGCACAACGATTATGCCCAAAAACCCTGTGCCCGTCGAAGAATTCCGGGCCAGGTTTCAGAGTGCATGGGAATTGGAGGGATTGAGCTTCAGCTTGAAGGCTGATGATTCCGCACAGTCAAAACCCCACCTAAACCCTAAGCACCTTTTAAATCCTGTAGCCTTTGGACCGAGATCGTGAAGCTCAAAACCAAAACGTCCGGCGCCTCATACTGAAGTAAGGCCCCGGCAGCCACGCTAGTCGAGGCATTCGAGTTCACATCATCCGTAACAGCACCTGGGATGCAGCGTGCCCGTGCAGACCTTACGCCCTCCAGAGTAACTAACATGGAACTTGAAGAGGGGCACATCATGGACTCCATGTCAGTCTCGAGGGATCGTTAGACCAACACGTCGGGGTGGTGGGTTTAGGGTATAGGTGTTGCAGGTTCAAAAACTCAGGGCGAAGTAATATTGCGCTGGCTCAATCTACGAGCTTAGGGGTTGGTCGCCCCAGAAACAGATCCTGAAAACTAAACAAAAAATGCCAGCCCCCGAACCCAGTGACACTGCATCGTCGTGTGCAGGCGTTAAATTGATGAAGGGCTGGATGGGACTTGGTGAGGTTCGACATGTAAACAGCACCACCTCCAGCACCAGGTTTTACAAAACCGCAGCAGCAGAAACACCTTCATGGCTGTGTTGGGTGGCTAGGTTACGCTGCGCCTTCTGACTCATGTTGCTGAGTGCTACATTCTTGTTAATCGGCCAGGGGTTGTGGACAAGAGCCAAGAGGTAAGGGGCTCAGGGTTGAGGACTCCGGGTGTGTAACTCTACATAATACTGCTATTGCAAGTCAGTCACGCCTGTACTGAAGATCGCGTAAGCGCCTCTGGCGACCCACTGAGATCCCTGCAACCCTGTGAGGCCGGGTGCAACGAAACCAACACGAACTCTGAGAATCAAGAACAAAACCTACATAGATACAGAACATCGAACAAACAGGCGGAATAACCTCTAAACTCAATCTAAAGACGAAGCCATGCACCAACCATACCAAAAAGACAGAGCCCACTGTAAACCATGAACCTGCAAGCCCTACAGTAGCCTGTAACGTGCAAAACGCACCTGCCCCTCCCTGTTTCCAAGCAAGGCTCCACTTTGCTGGCAGTGGAGTGTGAGTTCAATGACCTTCAGCCAAATACACAGCTTTCAACGGCTTTGGGCTTACGGAGTCAGGCCTTGGTATACTACCACTCAGCGCTTGCTTTGTGTGTTGAGGGCTTGGGGCACTACCACCTGGTGTTAGGATTTAGGTGAGAAGTGCTGTGGGATCTAGGGTTTGGGGCTTTGGGCTTGCAGGGATATGATGGCTTACATTTGTGTGGACCAAATCACATCCAGGAGCGGTTCCAGGTGTAGGGTCTCGACGCGTAAAGTCACAAACACCTGTTGAAGTCCAGTGCACAAAACCGTCCAAAGCTTACATATTCACAGTCGCTGTTTAGGAACCGAAACCCCCGTGAGGCCTTGTTAGACACGCATGTGAAACTTCTCAGAGCAGAACAGTCATGAACCCTAAACCCTATAGCAACAGAAAACCACGGAATCTCTGTCACAAACCCGAGCAAGTCACTATACTGCCAACTCACTATACATCCACGCGCAGCTGCTGAGGGCCTTCCGTCCCTGAAGCTCTAACATCCTTTGGCTTATGGTTCGGTTCCCGACAGGGGATCGAAGAAACCTGTGTTTGGAATCCAAGAGTCGATACGTGAAACCCTGCATCTCATGCCTCTTTAGCCCTCTGATCCGAAGCCCACACACCAAACCCCCAAAAATCCCCCAAACAGAAACGCGACACATTTCAAAGCCCCAGCAGCTTCCACCGACGTCGCAGGCAGGCTTGATTCGGACTCTTGGCTGGTCCTTGTCAAGCCTTCCGGATACCGCCCACACCCCATGGGGCCTCTGTAAGGGTTTCATAAACCCCGTTACTGAAGGCTTCTTTCGAAAGTTCACGAGACCGACTGAAACAAAAAAAGTGCTGAAGCAAGGCCGAAGAAAAGAACATGAAGGAATGGACATCAGGGCTTAGGTCTAAGAGTACAGGGTTTAGAGCTTCAGGGTTTAATACCTTACGAGGTGTCTACGGTTTGGGGGATTCAGTCTTCGGGCTTGAGGCTTAGCACTCGGCATGACCATGCGACTCACTTGAGTAGAGTTCAGTGCTCTTGAGGGATTGCAGAAACCCTAGACACTTTACCTGCATCCAAATCCTGCCAGAGCCGTATTAGATGTTGACCGGGTGGTCCTTGATGTACTTTCCATGCACGCTCTATATCGCTCTCACGCTCTCTCCGTATCTCTCTCTCTCTCTCTGTCTACATCAATGAATCAATACTTAGTTTGTGTCACTGTGTTAGTAGCACGGACTCGGATCTCTACGACTCTGAGACTCTAATCTAAGATGTAAGGAAGCGAGACGCTGCGGCCTGTGACTTTTCTACCTGGGTGTGAAGGCAAGAACCCAACATCTGACAAGTCACCATCAACATGCTGCCGACTTGATTGGCTGCGAATTCAACAAACACGGCCATGAACTCCCTACGATGAAGCCTGGTCTCTAAACTGGGCAGCTGCAGCTGCAAGCTAATTCAAAGCTACATAATACTCTTGCAGCCGCAACTATGACGACCCATGCACCTCCGGCCGAATCCCCAAACTGAAAGTTGTGCCGCGCGGCTCGGCGCTTGAGAAGTCACGCGCGGGACGACATCCAGAGGATCCCTTGCGTCCGGAGACGTTCGAAAACTCCTGGGTCAGCTACAGAGTACAGGTTTGACTGTCTAACGGTTTCTGTGTGGGCAGCAGCGGGCTTTTGGAGTTGTGATGTTCGCGGAGCAAGCATGATGGATAGAAGTTTGCGTAGGAGTTCAGGATCTGCAGAGAGGATCGACAGAGTTGTGGGAAGTGAGGGTTTCAAAGTGTCTGGGATTTAGGATCTGGGGTCTTGTGACTATGCAAAGTAAGGGCTTCACGGGTTGAGGATACGCGACCTAGGAGTACAGGGCTTAAGGATACGAGCAGTCTCTAGACTGTGCTGGGTTTATGGGACATGACAGGTTTGTCATTGAGTCTCTGCTTCAGCCCGCAGCGCAATTACATTCCACAAAAAAAGGCCCTGACCAGTGGAAATCCGGTTTGGGGTATCTTCGGGGTGTCGCATAAACCTTCGGGAATAGTACTACGAATTATTCAGGCTTCCATATTAACCATTTAGCCTGACGGTGATCTTGCCTTCGGCTCGGGTGGCTGGTATAAAGCATTCAACTAAATGCCACAGCAACTCTATCCCTAAACTCTAAACCCTACCCTAAACCTAAAGCACACACGAAGATCTCAGTTTTTTCCCGAGATCCCTTTCTGAACTTCCAAGGCCTCCAGACAACTGCATTTGAAACGCATAATGTAAGGGATTTAGATAAGTTATAGAATAAGGCTTTGACGATAAGTTCGAATATCGTGATATTGCTGAACCCCACCAAAGAAGAGTAGAACTAGTTTAGTTGTTCAGGCCGCTACTCTAGACTCTAGACACAAGCCAGAACCAGGCGCTTCGGTTCAGACGGCGGCGAGGGCTGTCCGACGTCGAAGCTCTCCTGTATAGAGTTCAGGAGCTATAAACCCTAAGCCCGAAATTTAAGACTCAACCCGAAGCTTCAAATATCTGCCCACGCGACCAAGTCCATCCCAGCTGCGCAAGACTTCAACAAATGAGCTTGTGCACATCGCCCATGGTTCCAAGCAACAGAACTACGTGACGTGACTTTTGAAAACCTTATAAGTAGTTAGCAACAGGAATGGAAAGACTTGAATTTCACATGACATGACCTCTCCACTTCAACTTGTTGCGTTGACTAGCACATGGCTGTCCATCTCGATGATAGTTCGCAGGGGGTGCTCCGATAGGGCTCTGGGTTTCTCGCGTTGACAACCTAAACAATGTGCAAACTGATCCGGTGGACAGAGCGACAGCTTGCAGATAGATAGATGGATAGATAGGTA